GGAGAAGAAGTCTGGAGAGAAATGCGAGAAAGGAGGGACAGACAGTAGAAACAAAAGTGAAACTGTTTGAGCAGCATATTCCAGAAGACTTGAGGTCTTTCTGAGTGTAGCCTTCATTGATTTGAGATCTACCATACCATTCTCTCACTAGAACGGAAAACCTATAATGGCAGCAGGCAGTATAAGAGACCCAGTTTGGGAATATGTTAATGAAGTTCCTCTACCTGTGGGTAAGACAGGAATGCGTGCAAAATGCAAACAGTGCAACAAAGAAATGCAAGGCCTGGTTTCCCGAATGAAACAACATCATGAGAAGTGTTCCTTCTCAGGAGGAAGCTGCGTTGAAGATAATGAAAGGAACATGTCTGAACATGCAGGATTTTCAAGTCGGTAATTTTTTTTATTTCATTCTTCTTTCTTAAGGACTGCCTGTCTTCCTTTTGGACTACTCTTAAATTCTAATGTTTAAACAAAAAAAAAAAAAATTATAGATAGATAGATAGATGTTACTCTATGGTACTATCATTTTAGATGCACTTGTGATAAAAAATAAATAGCTGAAATAGGCAGATCTTCCTTTTACAATTTCACCTTTAAAGTAGTACTGAGTGTCAGTGAATGCAATGAGTAATACTAAATGAGCATTATGGTAATAATAATTAAATAACTGCATTGACTTATTTTGTTTAGGAGAATCCATCCTCAACATACAGGATTCTGAAGACTATCCACCTTCAAGATCACCATCATTTTCTACAGTGGCAGATAACTCTGAAAATGATAATGTTTCAGTCACATCATGTATGTCACATAGCCACAGTATATCACCTGTAGCAAAAAGAAAAACAAATCTCCATCATCCAGAAACAACCATAGATAAGTTTGTGATGAGAACCAGCGGATTACAAAAAGAGGTAATTGATGAAAAAATTGCATGGTTTGTTTATGCAACAAACTCTCCTTTCCGTATGATTGAGAACCCACACTTCATTAACATGGTTCAGTCATTAAGACCAGGATACAGTCCACCCAACAGAGCAGATGTCGCAGGCAAATTGCTGGATAAAGTGTATGAAAGAGATTGAGCAGGGTGCAAAAGTTCTAGAGGGTAAAATTGTTAACTTGAGTCTTGATGGGTGGAACAATGTCCACAATGATCCTGTTGTATGTGCTTGTGTGACAACAGAAGAAGGGAATGTCTTCCTTACAGAAACAATTGATACATCAGGAAATGTACACACAGCAGAATACTTACAGTAGCAGCAGTAAAAGCTATAACAAACTGTGGAAAAAAAATTCAAATGTCTAGTACGCAGCTTGGTCACAGACAATGCTGCAAATGTATCCAAGATGAGAAGAAATTATTTAGAAGAGTGAAGAGAGTCCCAAGCTAATAACATACGGTTGCATTGCTCATTTGATGCACCTCCTAGCCAAAGACTTCAGTGTTCCAGAAATAAAGGCTAATGTTGTTGAAATTGCAAAATACTTCCGTAACAACCACTTTGCAGTAGCTGCTCTGAAAAAGGTGGGGGGAACCAAGCTAACTCTCCCACAAGACATACGATGGAACTCAGTAGTGGACTGTTTTGAGCACTATATCAAGATCTGGCCTAATCTGATGACAGTTTGTGAACAAAATTGTGAAAAAGTAGATGGCACTGTCACAGCCAAAGTTCTCGCCATTGGGCTTAAGAGAAATGTTGAACACATGCTGAGTACCCTGAAGCCTATTTCTGTAGCCTTGAACAAAATGCAGGGAAATAGCTATTTTATTGCTGACGCTGTTGAAATTTGGAAGGAACTGAGTGAGAGCTTAAAAAGAGAAATATGCAATGACAGAGTTAAATTACAAAAAAACAAAAAAACCCACGAATGGGACAAGCACTATCTCCAGCTCATTTTCTTGCAAATATTCTCAATACTCGGTACCAGGGTCAAACCTTAACTGCTGAAGAAGAGGAGTTGGCTATGACATGGACATCCAGCAATCATCCCTCCATAATGCCAACTATAATAAACTTCAGAGCTAAGGGTGAACCATTCAAGAAATATATGTTTGCTGATGATGTTTTAAAGAAAGTCACACCAGTGAATTGGTGGAAGTCACTTAAGCACTTGGATTCGGAGACTGTTGAAGTGATAATCTCACTTTTAACAGCAGTAACTTCTTCTGCCAGTGTAGAAAGGATATTTTCTTCCTTTGGACTAATTCATTCCAAATTTAGAAATCGTTTGGGACCTGAAAAAAGCAGGAAAGTTTGTTTTTCCTTTTCCAGAATATGAGCAAACAGGAAAATGAAGGTGAAGACGACTGACTTAGTTACAGAAGCCAATATTTTAAATTTCTTGTGTTGACGTGGCTGACATAGTTGATTTAATTTTTTTTTAAATATTTCATTTAACTTCTTTAGTTAAAACAATGTTAACAAAAACAAGCCTGATTTTAAAAAACTTGAATGTTTAAATTCAAAAATTCATATTCTTGTTTTGTTAAAATATTATGTGTTTGCTGTTGAAGAAAAAATCCAGAATACATAACGTTGTTGTTTTAGTTAAATAAAATAATTTAAATGTCTGTCTGGTGATGTTCTCCTCCTAATACAGCATGGCAAGAAAATCCTCCAAATATTAATGATTAACCTGTTGAATTGGAGATATTTATGAAGTCATTGGGAGGTGAACTATCTGCTTCAATTACTTTTGGTAAAATAACCAATCATTTATTTTCTGATTTAGCTGTAAAACTAATCTGAAAAGTTTTCAAAATAAATCACTTTAAAAAATGCATAGTGTGTACCTTCTAAAAAATGAAACCTACATCTATCTCTGATTTGTGAAGAATATGTATTAAGGTTATAACAACCTTATGTAGAAATCCATAATTAAATCGAGGCTTCCTGACTAGTGATTTAAATCATAATTTAAATCAATTTGATTTAAATCAAATCCACCCTGGTGAGCTCATTAACTCAGAGGTTTAGCCACAAAGCCTACAGCGATGACCAAGGGCTGTAGGCATATCCAGTGTAATTTTTTATTTAATTTTTTTAAACACTGGAAATAACCTATTTAAAGAGAGATGTCAATCTCACCAAGACAATTCTGTCTGGGCAACTTCGATGCCCATGTAGAGAATGGGTTTTCTGAGTCAACTTGGGTTCGCATACGCATATGACATTTAACTTGTGGATTCCTTTTGGCTCCATACATGTAAATAGACTCTTTAGATCTTATTTCTGGGTTGGGAATGTGAGGATCACACCCTTGTCATGCTAGCATTACCTTTTTCAGGTGGAGATAAAGGCTCATTTTTGCTCTCATCAGTGTAGAAGACTTTCCCCTTCCCCCCCATTTATTCTGTCTGGGAAAGTAATGGACCAGGTTGGATTGCATACTTCTGCAGAGAAATACTCTACAGCCAGCCGCCTACTTTACTGATTGCCTGGTAGGACATTATGATGATTTATCATCTTCTGACACAATGGTTCCTTAGTAACCCCCCTTTTTTAAGCTATCCCCACAGGTTATCCTGGTATATGGATGACCTGCAAGTGATGAAGCATGAGGGGAGGCGGTTTGTAACAGCAGCCAATAGAGGCTACATGGCAGGGGTCAGTATCCCATCTCCAGTGGTCACGGTTGAAAGGCTGGAGCCTGAAAGATTGTAGTGTGGAGCATTTAAGTCTCAGGCTATGCTGGTTTTGGTAGTGGAGAAGTAAATTCCACCATTTCCTCTGTAAATTTAAGTCAGCAGCACTGCTTCATGTACTGGACAGCCAGGTAAATCTAAGTGGCTTGGAAAATAAGTTAACATTTTTTTAATATGAGAAACTGCTTTGTGGATAATGGAGGGCAAGGTGCTGAATTCCTTCAAACATACTGTCCAGCTCTTACTCAAGAAATCATCTTTTAACAAATATTGCCAAATGGTTGGCCTTTCCCTAACCTTTCCTTTACTGAAGAGGCAGCTAATCAACTTGTGGCATCTGGACTCTTCTGTCTTTTTTCAATTTGGTTCAAGATCTGGGTATGATATGGAGGCTATACTAGCTATGTTGGTTGATTATCTCCTTGTAGTGATGAACAAAGGTCACCTGTTGACCATGCTGATTATTCTAGCTCTCTCTGCAGACCATGAAACAGGAACCTTGAGGTGGTATTTACTTTCTCGAAGACTCTGGCAGAAGTGGACAAGGTCACATTTCCATTAATATATTCTTTCCTCTGAAAGTTCCCAGAGTAATATGAACAATTCCTTCTCTACCATATGGAGGCTCAATAAGGATATGTCACCCCTCCCCCATGTAAGGCTCCATAAGGATGTGTTATCCCTCCTGTTCACATTTGTGAGGCCACTAGATAAGAAGATCACAAGATAACATGGGTTGCAATGTTATCAATATATATTGAGAACTCACAGCTCAAACAGACTCAGACAAGGCTTTCACAGTTCCTGGTAAAGATAATAGTTTGCAATGAGAGTTGTCTGAAACTCAATCCAGACAGGATTGAGGTGAAGCTGGTGAGTAGAACAGGTAATCTAGAGGAAGCGACAGAGATGATGTTTTTTTGTTTTGTTTTCTGGATCACTGACAATCTGGGGCCATTTTGGATCTTTAGCAGCTACTGGATTCCTAAGTAGAATCAACATTTATCTGTGCAAGCTAGGAGGTTGGGACTTTTCCTCTCAGAAGCAGACATCACCAGTTAGCCATACCTTTTGAGTTCTCCAGCTTAAACGAGTGCAACCATTCTACAAACAGTCACATCTCCACCTTTGACCAACGAAGTCATGAAGGAATGGTCTGTTATTACAGAAGACTTTTCATTGCATGAAGTATTCTTTCCAATTAAAAATAAGGTCATCATAAATATGCAATTCAAACAATAGCTGGTTGAACATCCTAAATGCTTAGTTATCTATGATCAATTTAATATATTTAAGGTGTAGTACAGCTAACACAGTTAAGACCTAACATATATTTGTGCTCACTTACCTCCATAAACATCATCCATACAGATAACAGTGTCTCCCATCTTTAACAAATGTGCAATATTCATAGTAGCTGCTAAGCCTGAAGCATAAGCTAAACCTAGAACAGAAAAAAGAATCACTGTGGCAGAGAACATACATATTTACATTTTAATAGAGAGATGTCTTTACATCATGTTATGAACATAAAATTTCTGTTCCCCCTGCCTCCCCCGTTTTCCTATTTAGTGTCAATGTTTTATAAAGGGCAAGGTTCTGCCACTCTTACTTATACTGAATAGTATGTTACTGCATGAGTAGTTCTACTGACCTGCAGAGTGGAGTTGATATTTATATACTAACCATGGTTAGCATTTTTGGTTAAAGAATATTAATTCAGGTATATTTTAAGAAAAAAGATTAGACCAGTGAAGAAGCTGATGAAGTAAATGCTGACAGCAAAAGCTGAGTTAAATGATTTACTGTTAGTGGTCAAACTCCAGTGCTCCAACCCTCTTAGGATACTTTTACTGTAGTCCACTCAAGATACACATGCTGACATATTTCTTAATGAAAATGCTGAGAGCTTACAGTACTTGGCTCCATCCAGTGCAGCTACAGCCTTTTCCAGGCAATTCCGAGTAGGATTTCCACTACGGCTATATTCGAAACCCTGTGGGAAAATAAGATACAAAAACAACAGTAAGTGTTGGAGATTTTGGAGGAGTTGCTGTACAATAATATAGTTAAACTTGTACTGACAATCACCGGTCTTAAAATTTGGTAAAATCCTAGACCATCCAAGAAATCCATATTCCTAACACTAAGTTATGCATCCAAAAAATAGCCACCTGCTATCACAAGCTGTTGTACACCACCCCACAGGGCCCAACAGCCGTTGCTTGTCAGAACAGAAGACAACCTATTTGCAGTCAAACTAAGCACTCTCATAAGCTCTAGTAAGTCATTTCTCTGAGACATAACCATAATTTGGCTGGTAAGGTTTTAATATGTCCTGTTATATTTTGTTGATAATCAGTCTCACATTAGAAGCCCTTTTTAGTAAAAGTAGTCTTTCATAATTCAATTCCAAGCATTAACATTTATCCCTCCATTTTGGGAAACTGAGGCTAGAGCTTCAGCTATGTAAATCTGCACAGCTCCACAGATTTCATGTAGCTATGCTAATTTACATCAACTAAGAATCTAGCCTGTATGTCTAAATCACATGCAACTTTTAAAACTTAGGGGTTAGTATGGGAAATCTGGATGCAGTGTGTGCTCATTAAAGTACAGGCTGTATTATAATGAAGATAAAATTACAATAAGTTAATTTGCTACCATTTTAAAAATTAACTCAGTTTTTGGCACCAGCTGACTTTAATCGTCTTATTCTAGCAATAATCTTATGAGACTCCCTCATGGATGTTCAAATAGGACATAATAATCTCTCTGGTACTTTGCAAAGGGTCCACGCACCTTTAACTCCAGTTGACCTCAATGGGAGGCAATGAATATTTCAGGATCAGGCTCAAATATAGTGTAGTTGGGGCTTGATCCTGCATCCATTGAAGTTAATGGTAAAGTTCCTACTGGCTTCAAATGGTGAAAGACCAGGTCCTGAATCCTGTTCCACAATTCTAGAATGCAGTGCTGTCTCAAGTTTTCAGCAATGCATGACTGTCACACAGTGATGCCAAAATGTATAACTGGTAGTCACATGAGCTGCCTCAGAACAAATGTTTACATATCTGCAATAATAAACTGAACAGAATCCAAAACCTCCAGGGCCCTAAATCAAAGAGAAAGATGAGCTTCCCTTTTAACACACACACACACACACACACACACACACACACAACACTCCTGCCAATTGCAAGGCAGGAGCTGCAGAAGGCCAGTCAGTAGATTTTGAAAGCCACAAAGTCAGTCTGAAAAATTATGATCCTCAAAAGGACAAGTATGTTCTTGGCACAAGTCATCCTAAATTCCAACTGGCATGTTGGGAAGACCTTCACTGGTGCAATGAGCCCAACAGCCCTCAAAGGGGCATTGGAGCTCTGTCTAAAGAAACTCAACAGGGGGAAAAAAACGGGCGGGGGGAGGGGAAGGGAGAGAGTCTGGTTAAGTATTCTGATGTCTTTCTAGTTTCAGAATCCCAGTGTAAAGAGATTCTTCATCCTGTTCTGGATTCTGATACAAGCTCACACAAGGTAAGGAAGTTGTCTTTGAACTTGCAGTAAGAACGTGCCTCAGAAAGTTGGATAAAAAGTATATTCCATTAACTCTCCTGTATTTCTGTTCTCCAATTGACTGTAAACAGCTTGTGATTATTTGCTATTTTAACTCAAATTTGGCAAATAATTCTTGGTCTGTTGCTCATTCACAAGTATTTGATATTTAAATTCAAATTCTGTCAGGAGGACACACTGATCACATGGTATGTTTCCATTCCTTAGTTAAATAAGGGTAATGCTTAGAATGGGGGGGGGGGAGGGGGAAAAAATCACATTTATGAATTCAAAAGTTTATTTTTCACAATTATTGCCCAAAGTCTGCTTAAAATTCTTAGTTTCCACAAACATTTCTGCCAGTATTCTCTATTATATTTATGGAAAGTGAGCAGCAAATGTTTGCTAACATTGTTGGAAGACAGGTTACTGGGCTTGATGGACCTTTGGTCTGACCCAGTAGGGCCATGCTTATATTCTAATTGAAGCAAATTCATTTAACAATACGGAGGAGGTTTTTTTGTGGTTGTTGTTTATTACAGTATGGGTCCAGATTACATTCTGCTATCAAATTTCAGATGAAGTATTCTGCTTGCCCATAGACCATGTGATAAAGGACAGAACATTCATCTGGTTATCAGTTTCCTGATGTCGAAAGCACTTCGGAATCTACACCAAACACATCTACAGAGAGTCAAAGGCACAAAGAGGAGTTAGGTACTCAACTCCAACTGACTTTTAGTTTGTGTCTTTGAAAATTTCCCTTAGAGACTGTATGTTTTTTCAGATCACAGGGAAAGAGTAGGTTACTCACCCTGTGCAGTAACTGACGTTCTGCGAGATGAGTGTCCCTGTGGGTGCTCCACTCCAGGTGTTGGTGCGTCCCTGTGCCTTTGCTCAGAGATTTTTGTAGCAGTACTCGTACTGGCCACACATGCGCAGAGGCTGCCCCCCGCTCTGAGTCTAGCTTAATAGTACGCATGCGTGGCCGGTCTCTTCAGTTCCTTCTCTACAATGGAGGCTACCCCAACTCCGAGGTAGAGGGGAGGAGGGTGGGTAGTGGAGCACCCACAGGAACACTCATCTTGAAGAACGTCAGTTACTGCACAGGGTGAGTAACCTCCTCTTCTTCGAGAGAGATGTCCCTGTGGGTGCTCCACTCCAGGTGACTTAAAAGCAGTGTGTCTCAAGGAGATAGGGACTTCAGATCTGATAGGAATGCCATAGATAGTACAGCCTTGCCCAAACATATATCAGAGAGAGGGCCTTGAGTAAGGGCATAATGTTTAACAAATGTGTGTTCAGAGGACCAAGTGGCTGCTTTACAGATGTCAGCCAGGGGAACTTTGCGTAAGAAAGCTACAGAGGCAGCCAGAGATCTAGTGGAGTGAGTTCTGATGCCGTCTGGAGGTGTAACCTTCTTCATCTGATAGCACAATAGGATGCACTGAGAAATCCAGTTCGAAAGTCTCTGGGTAGAAATAGGAGTCCCTTTGGAACGCTCCGCGATGGAGACAAAGAGTCTAGAAGAATTTCTAAAAGGTTTGGTTCTATCCAAATAGAAGGACAAGGCCCTGCATACATCTAATGTGTGCATTGTGGCTTCGAACGAGTTGGCATGTGGTTTCGGAAAAAAGGTTGGTAGGTATATCGGCTCATTAATGTGGAATGATGAATGCACCTTTGGAAGAAATTTAGGGTGCAATCTGAGGGTAACCTTGTCCTTGAAAAATAGCGTATATGGTGGGTCTGCCATAAGAGCTGCTATTTCTCCTGCCCGTCTGGCGGAGGTAATTGCCACTAAAAATGCTGTTTTCATCGAAAAGTTTAAAAGGGAGCACGTGGCTAGGGGTTCAAATGGTTGTTGAGTTAGGCAAGATAGTACTAAATGAAGGTCCCATGGAGTGGTAAGCGGTTTAATGTCTGGGTATAGGTCTTGGAGTCCCTTGAGGAAACGCTTGGTGATAGGATGAGCAAAAACAGAGGTATCATCAATTTTGTCATGAAAGGTTGTAATAGCAGCTAAATGGACTCTTATGGAGCTGAAAGAAAGGCCGGATCGCTTAAGATCCAGTAGGTAGTCAAGTATGATCGGGAGAGGTACCGATATGGGAGAAAGTTGTTTAGCTGAACACCAATGTGTGAATCATTTCCACTTTCGTAGATAGGTGGTGCGAGTAGATTGTGTTCTGCTATGTAGGAGCACTCTTTGAACTTGTTCAGAGCAATCTAGTTCGTTTTGGGAGAACCATGTAGGAACCAGGCTTTGAGGTGAAGCATGGACAGGTTGGGGTGGAGAAATCGGCCGTGTTGCTGTGATAGGAGGTTCGGGATGAGAGGCAATGAGATTGGTGGTCGAATTGACATTCTGGTGAGGAACGGAAACCACGGTTGTCTGGGCCACGCTGGGGCAATCAGGATCATCTTGGCACGGTCTGTTCGTATTTTTATCAGGACCCTGTTGAGAACCGGTATCGGGGGAAATGCATAGAGTAAGTTTCGGTGCCAGGGGATCATGAATGCGTCTCCCAGGGAATGTTTGCCCAGTCCCGCTCTGGAGCAAAAATCGGGACATTTCGTGTTTTTCGCAGTTGCAAAAAGGTCTATGGTTGGGTGACCCCAAATGCGGAATATGTTGTGAATGGTTTTCTCGTCTATTTCCCATTTGTGATCCCAGGGAAAGCGTCTGCTTAGTTCGTCCGCTGTGGTGTTCATCACTCCAGGAAGATAGGCAGCTGATACCCGGATGTTGTTCGCAAGGCACCAATTCCAGAGCTTCATAGCCTCTGTGCAAAGCGAGTGGGAGCGAGCTCCTCCCTGCCTGTTTACATAGAACATGCATGCAATGTTGTCTGTCATTATGCGTACATGGTGATTCCTGAATAATGGGAAGAAGTGACGGCACGCATTGCGTATGGCTCGAAGTTCTAGGACATTTATGTGAGAGAGGTTTCGGTTGAAGACCATGTGTTGTGAGACATGTGTGCACCCCAGCCTGTCAGAGATGCATCGGTAGTCAGTATGAGGGATGGAGCCTCTTGAAGAAAGGGGACTCCAGAGCAGAGGTTGGAGTGAACTGTCCACCACAGTAGAGAATCTTTGACTCGGAAAGGTATGAAGAGAGTCTTGTTTAGAGAGTGCACATTCGGTCTGTAAACCGTGGATCGGAGAGCTTCGTCGAACGTTGAGGCTTTGAGGAGGCAATCGTCGAGGTAAGGAAATATTATGACCCCTTGTTTCCTGAGGTGGGCAGTGACTACGGCTAGGATCTTGAAAAAAACACAGGGGGCCATGGACAGTCCGAAGGGGAGAACCCTGTATTGGAAATGTGTTGAGCCAAGGGTAAAACGTAGGAAGCGTCTGTGGGCCGGGTGTATAGTCACATGAAAATAGGCGTCCTGTAGGTCGAGGGCTGAAAACCAATCGCCCTGCTCCAACGCTGGGATTATGGTGGTGAGAGTAACCATCCTGAACTTTTGCTTTTTGACAAATTTGTTGAGCCGCCTGAGGTCGAGGATTGGTCGTGATCCCCCAGTTTTCTTTTCTGTTAAGAAATAATGGGAGTAAAAACCCTTCCCTTTGTGTCGTTCTGGCACAATTTCTATTGCTCCCAGCTGAAGGAGATGTTGCACTTCTTGGCGGAGTAGTTGCTCGTGAGAAGGGTCCCTGAAGAGGGACGTGGAGGGTGGGTGGGTGGGAGGCAAGGAGAGGAAGGGGATGGCGTATCCAATTGTAACAACCTCTATAACCCACTTGTCGGAGGTAATGTTCTGCCATTGATGGGAGAATGGTCGTAGGCGGTGTCCAAAAATAGGTGTGCTGGCTGAAGTGGGAACGCTGTTTTCTAAACCTTCGACCAAGGCTTCAAATCTGCTTATTAGTTGGAGGGGGTTGAGGCGCCCCTGCAGAATTGGGACAACGATGCTGGAATCTCGGTCTCTGGCATTACTGTTGTTGTTGTTGCTCCTGTGCTTTATGGAAGTGTTGTGTATATGCGGGGTAGCGTGGGCGTTGGTAAGGTTGATATCTATATTGTCGTCTCCTGGTCGTAGGTGTCTGGAGACCTAAGGACCGGAGGGTTGCCCTTGAGTCCTTCATTGTGTGAAGCACGTTGTTCGTGGTGGAAGCGAAAAGTTTTTCACCGTCAAAGGGAAGATCTTCAATGGTACTCTGGACCTCTCGAGGAAAGAAAGAGGAAGAGAGCCAGGAACCTTGGCTCATGACCACTGCTGTGGCGGTCGATCTTGCTGCAGTATTGGCTACATCGAGGGCTGCTTGAAGAGCGGTACGTGATATGATTTGTCCCTCAGAAACCAGAGCTGTGAATTGTTGTTTTTTCTGTTCTGGGATGTCATCAATAAAGTCCATGAATTTATTATAGTTTCTGTGGTCATATTTTGCAAGAACTGCAGTATAATTAGCTATACGAAATTATAACGTTGAGGATGCATATACTTTACGACCAAAGAGGTCCAAGCGTTTACTTTCCTTGTTGGTCGGGGTGGAGCGGGAATACTGTTGTTTGGTCCTTTGGTTCGCTGCGTCTACTACCAACGAGTTTGGCGCCGGATGGGTAAAAAGGAATTCAGAGCCCTTAGAAGGGATGAAGTACTTCCGGTCCGCTTGTTTACAGGTAGGTAGGCTTGTAGCTGGAGTCTGCCAGATGGACTTAGCAGGTTCTAAAAGGGCTACATTGATTGGTAATGCAACCCTAGAGGAAGAAGAGGGCTGTAGGATGTCCGTTAACTCATGCTGTTGTTCAGGACTTCTTTAAAGTCAGGCCTCTTTAATATATCTCAAACTGGGTACCCAAAACATCACTAATCAGGTGAAGATCTTGGCTCTGAATCAATGGCATTTCAGTCTCTTTGAAATCTGCCAGCAGGCATTGTTTCCTTTCAGCCTACAGTACAACCCCTTTTGTGCTAAATTACTATACTCAACCCCTTCTCTAGCATAGTTTGTAGTTTATGGAGTATTGCATTGCTTTTTGCTCTGCTCTGCAGTATGACCACTTTTTAGTAGTATTACAGTTAAGAGAAACTGTAAGGACCATATATCCATGCCTACAAACTATCAAGGAACTTTTTCTATTACTCTTCCCCCACACTAATACTACTGGGAAATCAGACTGAAAGAAGAAATACAGTCTAATGACCTGATTCTGATCCACATTCAGCTAATTGTGGGAGATATTAAGCTCCAAGCTGACTAGTCTCAGAGGAAAACAAGTTTGCCTTCTCTTGACAACTGCTACAATTCTGTACTAACAGAGCAAAGGGAGCAAGTGAGGGAATTATGTTTTTCTTCCAGCCTGTTTTGCATGTTTACTTAGGGCTTCTTTACACAGGGGGAAAGTCCAAAGTAGCTATTGTGCACTAGCTATTCTGCATTAACCACCACAACCACCCCCATGTGGATACCCTTACTGAGCACTAAAAGGGCCCTTGTGCCCATTAACATACTTCCAATCTGAATTAAATTAAGCTAAACTACCTAAGGGTACACTTAATGCACAGTAAGAGTGTCCACACAGAGATAGGGTAAGAATTTAAAGTGCGCTACCTTCTCTACACTAACTCACTGCGCACTACCTCCCTCGGGCAGCCAAGCCCCTTCTTTCATCATTCTGACATTGCTAGACTGACATGCATTAAATGGTTAAAGAGTCAAAAACTTTATTAAGCATTATAAATATTGATTTTTAAATGCATAATATGTCTCTGCACTGAGTATTTAATGATAGATATGCTGCTTTGGACAGGTGCCTATTTGGGCAGCTGCCACCTGGTTTACGAAACTTCCAAGCTGTGTTGTAACGTTTAAAGTGCAGTGGCAAAGGATTTCTGTTCTATGGTATCCACTGGAATCTCTAGTTACAAATGAGTGTGCATTTGCACTCTGGACCTTTTTGTGATACAGAGGAGGATTATTTACGGCAATGATACAGAATTTTTGCTTTTGGCTGAAACTTAGCATACTTGAAAGAGCCTTCTCCAGGGAAAATAAGTTAGTTTTGAAATTTTGCAAAACAAAAACTTGTTGAGACTTTTTTTAAACTCTTCAGCTGTAAATAGTTTGCTGCTTTACATCCTTTTTGTGCCCCCAAACTGGATTTTAAAAAAATAAACCACTATTTCCAGTCTGAATTGACAGGAAACAAATTGGTTTCCCTTACAAATGTGCGCGTGTTTACATGTGGATAATTTGTGTAAGGGTCAGAGCTGGACTGGACCTCCAGGGACGCACGTTTCTGCTTTATAGGGGAGTAAACCTTTTACCCCACCTCATTTCCTGACAGGTTGAGAGAGCCTTTGAAACCGACAGCTGTTCCATGCCTCTCGCTCCTGCCCGCAGCGCTTTCTCTCGCTCACTCCCCACGTTTCCCTTCGCTCCGCATCACCCCTTCCACTCCTCCCCCGCAGGAGTCCCCACTCACGCAGTGCTGGCCGGGCGCCTGCTGCTTGAAGGTGGTGGAGAGAGAGATGGGGGGCACGACGGCCATGGAGGTCCATTGCTCCGGCTCCTGCCCCACGTGGATGGCCTGAGTGGCGAAGTGCTCGAAGGGCGGCAGGAAGCCCTGGGACCCGTCCTCAGCCTTCTCCATGGGGAGCTGTGGCGGTAGGGGGACCGAGGAAAGCGGCTGATGCTGGCAGCTGCCGGGACAGGAAGCGAGGCAGGCTTAGGTGCAGCCGGCCGCTGTAATATACCGTGTTCCAGGCGCCGGCGACTGCCTGCAAACCAGCAGCTCCGCCTTGCATTGCACAAACCGCCTGGGGGGAGGAGACCAGCCCGGGCGTCGCCGCCTGGGCCTGCCCCTCATTGGGCCCCGGCTGCTGACCCTGGGAGACCCTGGCTTGTTGTGAGGACATCGGCGGGAGCTGCCGTGTGTCCCAAGCTGCCCGGGGTAGCATTGCTGCTCCACTGGCATTCGCGGCCCATGAACAGGCGTTTGGCTGCATAAACTGAGAATCTGCCAGGGAGACAGCGGTGCTGGGTCCGTGCCAGCCCAGGCCACAGATACTCCCCTTTCGGGTCCTAAAGCACAAGGTCTGCACCTGGCCCTGGTGTGGTGAAGCAGAGCGCTCCCCCCCTCCTGGCTTGGTGCCCTCAGAGCTCTCCCTCCTCTTTCCGTTTATTTTAACTGTTCTGTATCTACAGCACCCTTGAAGTGCAGCTGGCTCTGGGGTAAAAGGCTGCCATCCAGCTAACCATAGCAGTCTGCAATGCATTTCTTTCTGCATAACATCTCTAATATAGGTTTCAGAGTAGCAGCCGTGTTAGTCTGTATCCGCAAAAAGAACAGGAGTACTTGTGGCACCTTAGAGACTAACAAATTTATTAGAGCATAAGCTTTCGTGGGCTACAACCCAATATACAGTCTTTCCTATCCATAGCTAAAATTCTTGGCCAGGTTCTCATCATCTTATGTGAACAACAAGGAGTCTGGTGGCACCTTAAAGACTAACAGATTTATTGGGGCATAAGCTTTCGTGGGTAAAAACCTCACTTCTTCGGATGCATAGGAAGAAGTGAGGTTTTTACCCACGAAAGCTTATGCCCAAATAAATCTGTTAGTCTTTAAGGTGCCACCAGACTCCTTCCCTGTTTCCCCGAAAGTAAGACATCCCCCGAAAATAAGACCTACTTCCAGTTTTGCCTCTTGCTGCAATATAAGGCATCCCCCCGAAAATAAGACCTCCCCGATAATAAGGCCACCCTGGAATATAAGGCCCCGAAGTTCCAGGAAAAATAAGACCTCCCCTGAAAATAAGACCTAGCGCATCTTTGGGAGCAAAAATTAATATAAGACACTGTCTTATTTTCGGGGAAACAGGGTTGTTGTTTTTGTAGATACAGACTAACACGGCTACCCCCTGATACTTGATCATCTTATGAGGTGATTATCACAGCAGCCTTTTCTCTAGCCTTGACAAATGCAATGTTGCCCCACTTGTATCCAGTCAGCATGCTGCTGCAAAGGTCATTCTGCAGGCTTGTTGCTTTGAATATATCACCCCTCTCTTTGCATCTGTCCACTAGCTCCCTCTGTGTATCAAACATAACCTACTTTTCTTCTCTTTCAGTGCCCTTCACAGCCTATCTCCCCACTACCCATCATCTCCCCTTTGCTACTAGGGTGACCAGATCGCAAGAATGAAATATCAGGACACATTGGGTGAGCGGGGTGGGGGGAGGGGAGAGGACGACAATGACAGACACAGGTGCACAGAGCCATGAGAGGGGGCCCTAGGAAGCTGCAAGAGAGGTTGTACGGCCCCTGCTGCAGCGTGCACCACAAGCCACAGGGCAAGGACACCTATTGAATTCAATGAGAATTTTGCATGTGAATTGATGTACCTAGTTCTGAGATTATAAAGCCAGAAGGGATCCGGATCACCTGGTCTCACCGCCTGTATAGCACAGACATAGAACTTTCCCAAAACAATTCCTAGAGGATAGCTGTTAGAAAAAGCTTTTAGAAAAACACCATGACCCTTAGTGTATTGTTAATTGTTAATTACTCTCACCATAGAAAAGCTATGCCTTATATCCAGTCTGAATTTGCCTAGCTGCAACTTCCAACCGTTGGCTCATGCTCTACCTTTCTCTGCTAGACTGAAGTGCCCATTATTAACTATTTGTTCCCCATGTAGATACTTACAGTCTATAACCAAGTCACTTCTTAACCTTCTTTTTGTTAAGCTAAATAGATTGAGGTCCTTGAGTCCATCGCTATAAGGCATGTTTTATAATCCTTTAATCAGTCTTGTGACTCTTCTCTGAACACTCTTCAATTTATCAATATCCTTCTTAAATTGTGCACACCAGAACTGGACACAGTATTCCAGCAGTAGTTGCACCAGTGCCAAATACAGAAATAAAATAACCTCTCTACTCCTGCTTGAGATTCCCCTATTTAGGCATCTGGTCACCCTATTTCTGTATGCATTTCCCCAGGTTTTGTTGTAAAAATCAAAACTGAACTGCCCCAGAAATTCTGTCATGTGGAATCATCGTGAAACTCGCATGGCTCCAACCCTGCCGATGAACCTTTAGATCCACTGCACAGACTTCTGCCACGTGAGCTAATGGAGTAAGTGATGGCAGAGGCAGTAAGTTGTCATCCTATATGTGATAGATCAGCTCTATAGGGGGATGAGACACTTTTTTTGCCACTGGGTTTCACAGATATCTGCTGACAGAAGAGGAACTGAAACTCAGGAATCCTGGGTCTATTCCAGACTCCTGAACGGAGTGGTCTCTAGTAGTCAAAGACCCTTCTTCCCCGTCCCCTCCAGTCTATGTCTAGCCTATTGCTGTCTAACCCGCCTCAGCTCCTCATCTGATTTCAACTGCCCCCCACTACCGCTCTGGATTCCTTGTCCCAGTTTCCTGGTCCTGTCTCACTCTCCTCTCTCCCCGCCCCCATCCCTCAGATGGGATGTTCGTTCCAGACTGGCAAAATTATAAGGCTTCCCAACATTTCAACACTTCCCATTCTAAATTTTCGGTTGCTTAACTATAGGCTAGCTCTGCCTACAGCAAAGCATATTCAGAACCTGTGATTAAAGGGATTATAAGTGTAGCAACCTCCATCATAGCTAGTCACCAAAGATTGAACCCGAGCCATCCAG